AAGGAGGCTGTTTGCCGAGTTTGTCAAAGTGTGCGCAACACATGCCTTGGGTTTTTTTATCAAGGAATATCAGGGGTCTGCCTGTTTGGCCAATCAGTAAAAAAAAATCATGTGTCACGTTAACACAACGCCAGTTAGTAACTTCTGCAGCCCACCGGTGTGTTTGAAGAGTGAACCCGCAACATTTACAGTGTAAGCACAGCTGCCCAAGGCAGTGGGAGTCGTGCCGCATTTTCCAGCATCACTCGACACTGCGTCGAGTTGACTGCGTCAACGTCACGGCTGGTTTTTTGAAGCGCCCTCGCCCCCCCTCGCCCCCCCTCGCCCCCCAGGGGTGGTTGGCCAGCACCACGCCCGACCGCCTTTGTCTCCCCAGTGGCGATGTTTACACATCGCACCAGGCACTCATTTGAGCCTGAGTCGACCTAGAGGAGGCCCAGGACCGATTCAGACAGTCGTCACTGATGTTGGCCATGGGCGGGAATCGAACTCGGGGTCGGTAGTGCAGCACGCTAACTGCTGCACTACCGCTACCCACGATCGGACCCCTTTCGCATAGCCACTTGCACCTGAGTCGCCAGCAAGTTGCATATGCGACGATGCGTTTCACAAACATTTTTGTTCGTTACGATTGGTTATTATTTTGAAAGTGAACTTCTTTCGCACCGTACGTAGCCAACCGTGCTCATCAGAGGTGCGGGGGAAGCACAATAAACGAAACACAAAAAGCAGTTCTAAAGAAAATGAGTTTTCAATCTAGAATTGAAAGTGCATAGCTCCAGTGGCTTCCTAATATCGGAAGGAAGAGCGTTCCAGACGGCCGCAGAAGCGCATGTGGAAGCGCGCGATGCGGTGACCGTCTTTGTTCAATGGTTAGCCAAAATCTTCTGCGAGGATGACCGGAATTTGCGCGATGGTTTATGATCCTTGACAAGATCAACAAGGTGTTGTTGTGTGTAAGCACTTTGTGTGCAGTGAGTGCGACCTTGTCATGAAGTTGTTCTGCAACTGGAAAAAATCAGTCCATAGAATGAAACGTCAAAGTACTTTTTTTTGCCAGTATACATTATCCTATGTCGCACATATGACAATCCGCCAACCTCAAAAGAGTTCAAGTGCAGATCTAATATTGCTACAAATGAGTGACTCCGTCCCATTTCCTCCAACATTGTGCACATTCAAACTTAATGGCCATTCAGAGTACACGGCATATTGTTGGACATTAAATATACCCGTAGGAAAGACGTGTAATGGAACACGTACAGTATCCTCATTCATGCTAATTAGCACATGGGGCTTTTGCACATTACATGTGTCTGCCTTGGGTACATTACGTCAAAGAAATAGATGCTTCTCTTGCTTAATCAGCGCCAATCCTGGTGAGCCTAGAGGTTTCATATAAACTGAATATGTGCCCTTGGAATAATAAATTTTTTGGCATTTGTCATCTGTACACGCGTAATTATTTGCCCGTGAGCAGTCAGGTCACCAACCAATCCTTATCGGCCCTATGCTGGTGAGTTGTATAACGCAGGGACAATTACTCTTGTGGCTTTCTTATATTATGAGATTCGGAACGATATTTTTTTGTCCTTTATTTAGGAGAGCGTCCCTATTCAGAAATGGTTACGCTCGGATAGTTTTGTTACAATCCACTCTGATGTGTTGTTGTCGTCGCGCGGAAGGATGGAGAGTCATTCACCACTTCATAAGCCCACGTGTTAAACTGAGTCATTCACCACGCCATCTCCACTGCTGAATGAAATCCCCTACGTAGCCATTGTCTCTCGTGGACCTGCAATGCCGCAATTCCATCTCACGCTTGCGCATGAGCTGATGACATCACTCCATCTCCACAGTGGTCAACCCGTGTTGGGCTCCAAAGATCCGAACAGAATTTCTCCACGAGGTTTACGATGTTGTGTTTATCACGTGTTATGGCTCTTTCTTGCTCTCGACAGAGAAAATGAGCTCACTGTCAGTACAAATTAATCGGCAACCGATGTACTGTACTGCAATTTCCTTTTCCAAAAGTTGTAGATTTTTTTTTCGACAATCAGAATGTTAAGTGCAATATTTTTCTTGACCCGTATTCACATTTTTACTGTATTAATATAACTTTAGCCTATATTTGTTTAATTAAAATATCTTGAAAATATTGCGTTCTTGCATTGTTCATCATGCAAGGTTGCACTTGATGGGTTCATTTAATCGCCTGGTTAAGTAAAGAATACAACAACTTAGAAAAATCGATGATATGTAAATGTGACACTAATCATTTAATTGCTTGTTTAATGATTCGTACATGGTTCTCCAAGTATTCCTGCGTGGTTTTTGCGACACATGTTCTGATACTAAAAGCAGGGCTTTCATCGAGATATTAAATGTTCCTTCCATTTGTAAACCTGATAACAGTAGCTGACACTGAATGTGTTATTTTTACGTCAATTAGTCTCTTTAATGAGTACTTTCATGTTGGCAGTTTAAGTGTGTTTGGTACAGTTTAACGGGCACATCTTTCTCAATTTGTATAAATTAATTTTATAGAAATAAACATAATTGGCAAGCGGTGACGTTTCCTGTAATTTAATGTACGTGGGTTGCAACAGTTAAAAAAAAAACAATTGGTGGATAAGGGTTTGGCACTCATCGACACAAAGTATTATAAAAACATTTATGGTGCACACTCAGTTTTTTTTCAGTTTCAGTTTATATATTTTGGTATAGCCCTGTGAGCCATTCGGCTCTTGAATCGGGTGCAACCACAACAAACAAAAAACAAAAACACGAACAAGAAAAACATCTTAAAGTGACTATGTGACTGTGCAAACAGAAAATCCATGAAAAAAAACAGCAAAATATTCCTGAAAAAAGCACCGTACACCAACGCTGTGTGCAAAAAATCCCAGTGGGATGCAAGTCAAACAACAACAACAACAACCACAAAAAAACTTAGATTAAGGCCATCAGTCGAACTCCGTACTACAACAAAACAAACATGTCCAAACCAAAAAACGTTTTCGAAATCACCAAAAAATAAAGCCATAATTGCAACGTAACAGTGATCACAGGGACTGTGACCGAAAGAAGGACAAACGAGGCTTTATTTGCTTGGGGGTTAGTGGGGGGGGGGGGGGGGTAATTTCTCACACTTCCGAAGGGGAAATCCCAGTGATGGCAGGCAGTTCACCATCTGAGAATGAGCTGCATATGAGGCTCAACATGAGGCTCAGATTGCATACGATTTTAGCCAGGCTGTTAAAAGGCACAGCGATGGTAGATATGTGGCAAGGCCCCAGCCTGACGGCATCTTCTCCCTTTGTCACGATGGTGCTCCAAACACTCAGTCTTGAGATTCTGGTCCCCTGGGCAGAGGGCTGCATAACGCGTGACCTATCGTGGGTTCTGTCAATTAATATACGGAGGACAGGACGTGGATGCATGAATATTGTGTTAGGAATCCCGCTGGGCCCTAGTCCTTGCTTGCAAATTTAATAACATCAGCATCATCTCACTGTTCTGTATTTCTGTAACTCACAGGAGCAAAAGCTTTCAAGTGCCCACTTCATATAAAGACCAAATGGGAATTAAAAAAAAAACTGCTTAAGGATATTGCAACAATGGGCTGAAATGTATGGGATCTGACACATAAAATGTTTTCCTTTGTAAACTATTAGCATATTTTTTTCGACTAACTTTTGTGATGTAAATTTGATGCAGACTTTCCAACCCATGCGTAAGTAATGTAAATCATGTAATTAGAAAGGAAATGTTGTGCACTCAAAATTAGCCTTGCTTCCTGATAGAAAAAAACACAGGGTGCAAACATAGTGGTATTTGAGAAAATAAATATATTCATTTGGGGGTGTTTTCTTTGAAATTTCTGAGCAATACCTAGAATAATTTTGCACGTGTCCCTCCCTTCCCTCCCCTCCCGACTGCCAGCCGGCCCGCAAAACTTTTGTCGAATATAATGAATACACGGCCGGAGTGGAAGATGGGGGTGAGGGCAGATGTGCGTGGTGACATCACCAACCCCACGTGTACACTCGATCATGTACCAGGTAGGCAGGAATCCAGGCAGAATTCCTTTTTTCTGATATGGTATGAAAATGTTGCTGAAACTGTGATCGTTCGAAGGCAGGTTATACTTTTGAAACATAAATGTTGTTTCAGATCACTTTAATTCAACAATAACACAGGGAGGGAGGGACGCGTTCAAACGACGTGTGGGCTGCTAATAATACATAATATTTTTAAGGATGTTCTACTACATTCTGCCCTCATATACATTTTACAGACCCCTTTTTGCTGAAATATACATCAGTTTCCTTAGCAAATGTCTTTCAAACCTTGTGTGATGGTGGAAGTTGCTTGCACAAAGCAATACAAAATAAAGTATGGAAATACATACCCCGGCAATACCAGGGGTGGAATAACATTAATCCACAGTGGGGCCACGAGCTGGTATAATTTCCCCCAACTTCACTAAATTGGGAAAATGTATCAACATAGGTTGTTGTTTTTTGTGTTTGTTATTTTAATTTTTGGTTAGTTCTTAAGCCGAAAAAAATGGTGTGAGCAGCCTCTGAAGGTGGCTTAGGACAGCCTACACTGTGCTTCCTATGGAGGGCTCATAAAACCCCAGAGCGAGCCCCACATCCACAGCCCAGCGGCAGACACTGGGTTTCACAACACCACACCGGTGGAAATGCCAGAGTGCTGCTGTTTTAGCAGCGACCTTTTGATAAACACCACTGGTGAGGAATTAAGCAACGTTGAATGCATTTTATAAGGATTACAGTTTCGATTTAAAGCTTTCGTGACTGCAAGGATTCATCTTCTTTGGGTCTTTCGGTAAAGTCACGTAGAATGGGAATAAAATAATGAAATAAAATAACACAATAAAATTCTCACGACTACACTGTCGGAACGACAGAGCTTCATTGTCGTACGACAGGTTTGTTCCTTTCACCTGAAGAAGGCCACTTGTGTTGTGGCCGAAACGTCGTAAGAATTTTATTGTGTTATTTTATTTTATTATTTTATTCTCATTCCACGTGACTTTACTGAAAGAACCAAGCAAGAGGATTACAGTTGTGCAGGATATTTCCTGTGTATTTAATTACACTCTTCAAACCACACCTGTGATTGTATTCACATCCTGCGTTAATTAATTATCAATGTGGGGGGCGGTACGGTGGTGTATTGGTTCACCCACCGCACTATGAAGATGGGATGGTCGCACCTGAGTTCGACGCTTGGCCAAGGCTAAAGTCAGTGGCGAGAGATATCGGAACTTGGCCTCGTTCCCTCTTCACCAACCTCCACTGACCAGCTTGGTAAAGCAAAATAACCCTCCCCCCCCCCCCCCATGACCGCTACACCTGCGGGGGAGAGGGGGGCCTTCATACAAAAGTGGGTTGACAAAGGGCTTTAGATTGTTAAAGTAGCGTATTACTTTAAAGAGAGAATCCGTTGGAGGTGATTCAGTTTAGTGCGCTTGTGCAATCGGGATGGAGGCAACAACGCACATTTTTAAGTTTCATAAAAGAAAACATTAGTTTTATGCGACATGAAAAAAAAACAACTTTGATATAATACCGTTTCTTAAAAAGTTTGTGAGGCGACAACACTTTCGAACTGTATTACGGTTAAAATTATAGTGCACAGCCCTTTATCAGTCGAATGTTGGATGAAGGGCTCCCCCAAACTTTCGGGTCATGAGGTTGTTTGACCATACTTCACCACCACACGGGTGGAAGATCCTCTGTGGAAACCCAATTATTGAAGTTATCTTTTTTTACACAGCTGGATTAAATGTACGTTATGGCTTGTGGATCAAGAATATTATATTTATTGCAGACAATAATACATGCTGTTCTTTTCATGAAAATGACTAAACACGTGCACTTAAACAATGACATCTGCTATGGTGCGTTTCTTTTTTATTGTTATTGGTATTATATTTTTTCTACAATATTGTTCACTGATTGGGATAATTTAAAATGTAACTCAATGTAATGTTCCACGCTCCGCTTTGTTCGTGCCTCCATGATCAGTCTATTAATAGGTGGAAGCTGACTGCATATATATTAGGTTTCATTATACCTCCATGAATATTTTTCACGCTTTTGCCACCAGCATTGCACCGTGGCTCTGATCTGCCCCTGGGTTTTCAGCATTTATATACACAGCATTTTTACATGATGGTTTAACGCCAGAGCATTTTGTTCATATAGAAGTAATGTAATGTCAGTAATCGTCTGGTTTTTCATCCAAATATCGTAATATTATGGATTTATGTACAGTCTTGCGTATGCCGTAATTTAAATGTTACTCTTTGTGTCTATCTCTGTATCGATTTGTAACCGTTGCATTATTCCCCGTTTGTTCGTTATTAGTATGAACGTGCCAAATGCTTGAATTACTGGTGAGTCATGCACAGGAAGGCTTATGCAAGTAAATCATTGCCGTCAGATGGCAGGGCTGCCATTTGTATGCCCCGCATTGAGGGAGGTTTTTTTTGCCCATTTGGTTGGCCAGTGTGCACATGACTTGCCATACTCACGGGTGAGGCAGTCTTACCTAAAACGCCCTTTAGAGATTTGACATAAGTGATTGGAAGCCAATCACTAATAGGTTCAGCATCTAAGAAAAACGGATTTGGGGAATGGATGGGGATGTTTGACAGAGCGTGACGGATGGCGCCTGCGATGCATTGTCACCCTGACAGGGCACTCATTCGCCACATCGATCACTGCGATACTCTGCATTTCACTCCGGGGACCGGTGTCAGTGCTGGCAGTACATTGTGAGCCACAGAGTGTGGGTTTTCATCGGTGTGGCAGCCCCTCTGTAACTGCGGTTAACCCCAAGTTCTATCCATTGTCATTGCAGGCTTGGGGGTAGGGGCCTTGGGAGGCGGTGGCGGTGTTGCATGCGGCCCTGTACAATTATAGAGGGCAACGTTATAAAATTTGAAAATTGCGCCCGATTTGCTTTCAAATATAATTGCTGTTGAAATAAAAAAAAATTGGAGCGGGTGATCGAGAGGGAAAAGATGGATTGTTACATTATTTTTTTCCCAAGTGGCCTTCAGTAAGAAGACATGTTTTATTTGTTTGTCACATTGCACACAAATGTCACTTTGCCTCGTCCAAAAAGTAATTGCATTTTAGGTCAAACGTACCATGAAACAATGTATTCAGTTGATGTTGATTTTTTATTAATATATGTGTGTAACTGTTCACTTTTAACTTGCTGTTTCGCAAACCTCGAGTACACTTAATGTGTTGAATAGTGGTCGTGACAGAATAAATAAATACGCTGATTTGAAAAGTAACACTGCACTGTGGTTGAGGGTAGAGCAGTGGAGTGGATGTTTTCACGGCCGTCTTATGAACTTGGCGACATGAGTAAAATTCATGACCACAACTAACGTCTGTGGCGAGTGATGTCTGAACCAATCCTAGACACCCACTTTCACGAATGTGAAATGGCCAGCATGGTGAGGTATGGTCAAACATCCCCCATGATTGTAAGGCATAGGGAAGCCTTCATATACCAGTTGATTGACAGAGGGTTGAAAATTAATAATTCTTAATATGTTTTACTTTGGTTGAGAAACAAGATGCAATTGTAGTTTTAACACGACAGTGTTCACCATTACATCGCTTAATGTATGTGTTGTGAAGAAAAACAGTATTGGTATCACTACTTTGACACATGTACACATATACGTATATTAAACGTCCAATTAAGTACAAGTGGACATGGCAGATTGGCAGATAAAACGTGTTGCATTTTACAAGATAATTTGAGAGTGATCATTTCATATTATGCATGAATGGTCAGACGTAGCTGCTGATTAGGCTCACAAAAAATATAGTTTGAAGTCAAACCAGATGCTTTACAGTTTAAGTTGCGTGAAATTATAGGGGTCACGTTCCAGTGTAGGATCATTCTCCCTTTGTGGATGCGCATTACACGTTGAAGATGTGCGGATTAAATATTTATCACGGCAAAAGGGAATCGTTCTAGTTATTGGAGAAAGAACAGCCTGTGATTCACGAGTGCAGGCTCTCGCAGGGCTGTCTATGATTCCTTACAGACATGGTAAACACACTGCGAGTATCCTCTTTCCACAGATTTCGGCGAAAATTTACTGTGCTTGCTATAATCTGGTGGCTGTGGAGGTACTCAACTTGCTAAATGGCGCGTCTTATTTTAATTTCACAGGTGCTGCTATCGGGCCTAATCGGTGTGCTGTCCTGGAAACGGCCTATTTCTCTCGTGGTAGGTCACGCCACTTTTACCCCACTTTCACCCCATTTTCATGTTCATTAAACCGGCCTCGCCTGCTTCGAAGGCTTTCGGCACGGCCTGTTGTCGCATTGTTTTGGCCGATGGCTTTTGTGCAATCATTCACTTTTCTTTTTAAATTCAACGCTTTTATTGGACCGTGACTTATGGAGCTCGAAACAGATGAGTGCATGCACGCCCAGCACTGAGATACCATTAAGATGTATTGTTTATTTACTGAGGACCAACATTGGTAATGCAGACACCACGATTACTGCGCTGTCATTTTTCCTCATAACGGCGAATGGATGTAATATTTGGGTCGTGACACCGGCACGCGATGACGTGCCTTTGTCAATGATAACAAATTAATTTACGGCTGTATTGTCAATCCACTGCTGGATGAAGGCCTGCACACGCTGCGTAGGTTATGGGGTTGCTTGACCACGCTGGTTTTATGAAATTTGAGTAGGGGGCGAGGACTGGGTCGAGATCACTCGCTACTGATGTTAGTCGTGGCCAGGAATTTAAATTCAGGTCGCTGGGTTCTAAATTCAGTGTGATAACCACTGCGCCACCACTCCGCCCCCAATGACTTACAATGCAGAAACTTTATTGTTCAATCAAGTGAAACGATGCAGCTTCTTGCGATCATACTGGCTCAGTTGCAAGCATGCTGTGCCCATGAGACTGTCTGTCTGCTTCGTATACACTGCATGTCATTAGTCATCACGCTATTCTGCCTCCGAAAGAGAGTGCTCTTGGAAATGTCTGCCAATGCATGATGTCAGGTTGCATGGTGAGTGTTCTATCCCTTTCCCAATCCGACTGGAAGAAAAAAAGATAAATAAAATAACTTTATTGGTACCGAGGCTCCCACAAGGCCATGCGGAAGCACGTGTGGCCCAGTTTGTCGCCAGCTATCATAGAGTGTGGTCGTGTCGCTGCAGTTCTCTGCAGTGAGTACAATGTCTGTAAAAACAACGGCGCTATGCCACTCTAAACAAAATGAACACTCACATCTTTCTCATTCCGAGATTCAGCGGTAAACGGGGCCCACTCTGCAACTTGCAGACGTCTCGGAAGGGGAATGCGTTAAATGGATATTTGGTTGCCCTGCATTGCTGTTGCCTGTCTGCGAAACCACACTTTTCGCCCAAACTTGCCAACGAGGAATGAGGCATATTTTAATTTCTCTTTTTTGCCAGAAGGTAACATTACCTCTAATTAAGCAAACGTTGATTTATGATCGTTTACAACTCTAGAAGTAGCCATTATGAAATGAAAAATCAACCTGAAAATAGATTGTTGTAACCCTTAAAACTATTAATTAAATTAATCTGCTTCATAACAATATCCTTGATCTGTCATTTTACCATGTAAAACTGGTAAGCTACTTGAGAAAGTAGGTCACTTGAGACAATGTCAAGTTGAAATTGCGTGATTTTCTCCATATAAAAGTGTGCCCTTTTTAATACAAGTACCCTTGGATATTTGGTCACAATTTGAACGAATCGCCATACGTGAGACAGCTTAAAGATAAATCCCATCTTATTTACATAACTGAGAGTCATCAAGTGCTTGCACTTATATATAACTGTTAATATTTTTATTATAGTTTTTTTTTAAATGCTCTTTAAAAAAAAGTTATAATCATCATTATGAACTCCCATTCACAGCACTGACTGAGTCATTGTGTTAATCAGTCAGTTTTTTTTTTGCTATTGAGCTCCTACAGGAATACATTCAGCTACTATCTACTACCTGATCAATTGATTTGTTTTAGCAGCTGTGAAAGATTATGGTTCCTCTGCTGAATCAGCAGGCAATGCCCACGTGGCCCCTGTCGCCTTGTTCCCCACTCCGTGCCGAGTGCGGTCAATGTTTTGTGTCCGTGGCCGTTAGAAATGCTTCAAATAATACCCAGCCTGAGCCCATACGGATAACGTGCGTGTTTCACTTGCCCACCGGCAGGACCTGGAACCACAGAAATAACGGTGCCAAGTCAGTAGCCCAACATGGTTTTCATCAGCCCCTGAAGTTAAATCAGCCTACCCTTTCTTCAGCTGTTGTTCGTTTTAACGTTATGCTGAATAATGATCTCAGCCTGGTCACCGGTGATGGCACAAAAAGGCGTAATGTTAAATTTGGTTTTGAGAGTCATGCGACAGACCTTCTCTTGGCAGACTGTATGGGAAAAGTCCTCTTCTAAAAAGAAGATGAGGAAACGTGTGTCTCTGACTCTGTAAAGGATTTTAAAAAGACAACTTGCAGGATTATATTGGAGAAGTCATTTGAAAAATCGCTTTTTCACACCCGTTCTTTAACTCATTGTGGGGTTTTGAGATTACCCTACGGATTCTGCTTCTGATGGCATGATGCTGACGGCACAATTGGAATTAATTGAATACAAAATAAAACTAGTTTAAATGCATCAGAGTAAGTAAAATATAAGGTGTATTAGCATTGTGAACTCATTGCAGTGTGACCTAATAGTCTGTATTAATTGAGCCTAAATGCTGCATTAGGAAAATAGGAAACTGCATCACCACTTGCTTTATTTTATGTAAAACATCGCGGGACAGCGCGGTTTCATTTTAATTTATAAACTGCACGTGGACTCATCATCAATTGGGGCTAAAACATGGGATTCCACTTTCATGCTTCTAAGAACATAAAAACAAACCCTATGGTTTTGCGTGAGAGAGAAGCTTTCCAATTGCTTGTACCGGAGTCGAACAGCTATTTTGAGAACTTCTAAACAGAGCGAAGAAGACGCTTCTAATGCCAGTTAAGCTGAAACATGGTATAGATAACCGATCTGTCAACGCCTGTAAGAAGGAACATATAGAAGATAGTATGCTGGTCCCCCATGGCACGTAATTCAACCGCCAGCGCTTCTACATCGACGCTATTGTGTGTAGCATTTCATTTGATTTCACTGCACACATCGGTGCCTATGTGTTTAAACAGTAATTTGAAACTGCAGCTAAATCCAGCAGCTGCTTCTTCTACTGTATGCGCCGTGCTATCGGTAGCAATCTCCCGCTGTGTCCAGGAATGTTGGCACGAGCAAAAAAAAACCCACACACACCCAACCTTGCCCCGCTGTTGAAGGCTGAAATGGCCATCTTCTGTATGCATGTGTATTGAACTTCTTTCGCCAACCGTGATAATCAGAGGTGTGGGGGGAAGGACAACAAACCTAACACCGAAATCAGTTCTAAAGAATGTAGTTTTTAATCCAGATTTCAAATGGAGGAGGAACGTTCCAGACGGCCGCAGAAAGTGTGCGATGCAGTGACCGTCTTTGTTCGATGACTCGCCAAAAGCCACTTCGAGGATGACCTGTTGCCTGAAGGCGCTATTATAATGGCACGGGTCAATGTAGCTTTACTGAACATTGGACCGTTAATTGCCTTGCAACTGCGCAACGCTTTATCCCCTCTTACCCCCCTACCCCCCCCCTTAATGTTATCGTCCATCGCTTCGTCTATGCCCAAGGCAGAACAAACGCTCAAGAATTTAACTGAGCCCTGCCGGGAGCCAGGTTTGTGTTCTTTTTTTTTACTTGCACGACCCTGTCTGTTGTGTCAATTTACCTTTATAACCACATACACATTTTTTTCTATATATCATCACAAAAAGCCCATATCTCCACGAACCTTTCACAATTTACGACAGTTATATAAATAGAGCTGGCGAACACTTTAAAATATTCTGAAACGTAAATCGTACACGGAGTCCTTATATTTTTAGAATACAGTGTATATTTATTCCGTGTGTGGTCGAATCAATAATTCAAAACGTGTTATTCGACAACTCTAAAGTGGCAAACGTTGCTGTCCTGCGCTTAATTTTTTTTTTTCAACAAAATAAACAATCTGGAGAAGTGGAAATGCTTCTGAATGGTATCTATGCATTTGCCAAATACGAAATATATATTTTTGTCACATAAATGGTTACATTTCATAACGGCAACTCCGCACAACGGTTGGAATGTCTACCGTTGTTTAATCGTACTTATGAATAAGAGGCCACTCTTGAACACGTCTTTTAAAATCAATTCCCATCAGCTGTTCTTCCGTTAATTTCAAGGTCACTTCAAGGTGAATCTCGTTTCCTCAAACGGATCTTAACAAAATCTAGCCATCTATACCATTGTCTGTTCCACAGCATGTCCTTTTTTCTCGTTTCCGGACTAAAGTCACCTTCTTCTGGGTTCTTTCGGTAAAGTCACGTAGAATGGAGATAAAATAATAAAAATAATAATAACAGAATAAAATTCTCACGACGTTTCGGCCAAAACACAGTAGCCTTCCTCAGGTGAAAAAACAGGACTGTCCGGAAGACAGCGCTTGAGTGAACCCTGTCAACCTTGACAGCGTCTTTTAAGCTGTGTGGGAGGAAGAGAGCGCCTTGACAAAGGAGTTTACATATAAATTAGCATGTAACTGGGGGATTAGCATGATGTTGGTGTGAGGGATTAGCACCACGGAGAGCGAAGAGCTTTGTTCAGACAGACGAGTCCATCTATGCTCGGAACTGAGGAGGGGGGAGAGAGAGAAACAGTCACGATGTGCTGCTCTGTCCTGTGTTGCGTTACAACTATGCTATAAACTAGACTACTATACATTACAATATTATACCTTCCAATCTAAACTACATTGTATAATATCGTATCCATAGACAAACCCCACCCTTGAATTATACAATGCGTTACTATACACTGCCCTATACTTTAGACTATAACATATTAGACTTGTAGTATTACACTATGTATTATTCTACTAACCCTACTGTATACCACACTGCTGTATATTCACTATACAATTACGGTACTATATATTGCCTTATGAATTATGTTAAACATTACACTGTTATACTATTTATTATTATACAAAATGACATAAACTATACTATTGACCGTCGTGTGAAAGGTATTAAGACATAGATGGACTCGTCCGTCTGAACAAAGCTCGTCACTCTCCGTGGTGTTAATCCCTCACACCAACATCATGCTAATCCCCCAGTTACATGCTAATGTATATGTAAACTCCTTTGTCAAGGCGCTCTGTTCCTCCCACACAGCTTAAAAGACGCTGTCAAGCTTGACAGGGTTCACTCAAGCGCTGTCTTCCGGACAGTCCTGTTTCTTCACCTGAGGAAGGCTACTTGTGTTGTGGCCGAAACGTCGTGAGAATTTTATTCTGTTATTATTATTTTTATTATTTTATCTCCATTCTACGTGACTTTACCGAAAGAACCCAGCAGATGAGTCCCTGCAGTCACGAAAGCTTTTAATCGAAATGTAAAGTCACCTTGTGCATCTGTCTTTATGAATACGAGCAGCCACGTTACACTGCTGTATTTTTGCAATCAAGGGTATCTGCCTGATGCTTTTTTTTTGTCATGCAAGTCACCGTTATCGTCGTCGTCATCAGCAACATCTTGTTGATTTTGTGCTGTAAAATATGCAGCCGAAGAAAAAGGTTACGTGTGAAACCAGTGCACCTATGAGTGACAGTGAAGATTTAAAACTAAGTGCGAGTGTTGAGTGAGCGACTTTGGCAGGGCCAGCTGCCTCAACCGTGTGCCCCACCAGATGTTGTAGCGCGGCACCGGGACTAATGCCACGTAATAATTGGGGTGGTGGCCAGGTAACCACACCTGGTATGCTGCTCGAGGTGACCAAGCAATTGTTACATACACACAAAACTTTGAGCTTGAGGTCTTTGTTTGCTTTTCTTTTATTGCCCGTTCATAGAGGCACCAAAGAATGAAGCTCTCTCCTAAGCAATGTTAAACAATTTTCACCATCATGGGACCTCCTTTGCCAGTACCAAAATATGAGAATAGGTTTTCCCCTTTTTTCTGGCAACAAAGCAGATGTTAAGATGTTAAAACACCAAACTGAAACCTTTTACAAGGAATCATGTCTGCATAAACCACAATACTTGTGGTCAGAATGCAAACAAAAAACATACTCTGATAATATATGCATTGTCTTTGAAACTGATTGGTCCACACCAGAGACAGCTTTCTTTCGTGCCTCGTCTCAAACGGTGTTAGACCAGAGGACACTGTTTGAGACGAGGCTCTAAAGAGAGCTGTCTCTGGTGTGGACCAATCAGTTTCAAGGACAATGCCAATTATATTATCAGAGTATGTTTTTTGTTTGCATTCTGACCACAAGTATTGTGGTTAATGCAGACGTGATTTCTCGTAATAAAAGGTTTCAGTTTGGTTCTTTAACATCTCAACACCTGTTTTGTTGCCAGATAAAAGGGGAAAACCTATTCTCGGCTTTTCACCTACCGCAGCATGCTATGAGAAAAGAGGCTACTTCTCCTGTCAAAGACACGACCAAAAACAATTATGAGACCAATACACAAATGCGAAGAAACGTGGATTTTCATTGCAGCAATGATTGCTGACTTAATATGGTTTTATTTTTTGTATTCTGTATGCGTTTTGCCAGTGTTAGACTGAATGTCGGTTTTTAAAACGTAAGATTAGGATGAATACTAATTCCAATGTGATTTGTAGGGTTGTTAAATTACTAAACATTTACGTAATACATTGTCAATGAATAGGGAACGTTGCACTGTTTAACTGCACTTGAGCCATTTTCACCGTGAGAATATATAAAAAAATAAATTATAAAAGTCAATCCATTGTGATTTTTAAATGTCACTCACTGGCTTCGGGTACACGTCGTGCATTCCTTCCTTACATTTATTTTCTGTTCGGACGAAAGTACATTTTGCATGAGCATGTTTTTTTTTGTCGTTGTCATGCAATGAGTGGCCACTTCAGGGCTTTTAGGCATCGGCACACAGATTGTTCTTTGATTGGCAAGGGCTATTTTCAACAGTCCAAGCTGGCATCTGGAAGTCGGCAAGTTCTGGAATGCAAAGGTGGAGTGGATGTCTCTTCCAAACACGTGTCCACAAGCATGGCTGGCATCAAAGGGATCTGCTGCAGTGTGCTTTAGACAAGAGCAGTGCATTATATCTGGAATGTGCTCTGCATATGTCTCACCCGTAAGAATATATTGAACCAAAATCTTGCTTGAGCCCAATATGAGAATATTTTGATTCTGGATTCTGACGAGGAGAAGAGCCTTATTCACTCGTGTCCATATCAAGACTGTAAAAAAAATAACTGATTGCTCGATATTAACGCTCATGTACATGCAGTTTTCAGGGAGTGTTTAGTTATGGGCTGCCCATGACCAGATCACCCTGATGTGGCCACATTTCTCAGGAATCGAAGCCTGGTTAATGTTTGGAATGGGGGATTGCCTGGCAATACCAGGTGACGCATAACCTTGCTTTGTAAGGTAACTGGGAGACAACAGTGCAGCAGTGTATTCTGGATTCAATCTGTGTAGAGCTGTGAGTGTTACTTTGGCACATGTCAGGAGATTCTCTAGTTATTTTCCACACTCCATGCGCTCGTCAATGGAAAATTCGGCTAAGCATCCCAACGCAGGACCCTCCCGAAGAGGAGGCTTGTGACTGAGTGAGGCTTTTTCAGGTTTAAAGGGACCGAATTGTTATAGTTATGCTGAGGGCACCATTAAGGCGTGTTGCGTCAACACGGCTCACATTCTCCTGCTTTCGTATGGCATTGTGAAAAGCAACAGTTTTTATTTTTTCTTAATGATCGTCATGAAAATAAATGCAAAGGTTCCTCATCCAGTCCAATGATGTGGTTGACGCAGTGTGGATTTCAGCGATACTGCCAGGATGTGCATGGAGGGAGCATTCATCGGTGATGTGCTTGATGATTTGGACTTCTCTACAGTCGCAGTTGGGCGATTCTTTGATCTTCCATTTATTGAACGTGTACGCGCGTCTGCCGTGTTGTGTTCGAGCGCGGTCCAATGTGGTCCATAGTCGTCGTGGAAGAGAGAATCCCGGTACTTCCACCGTCGGATCGTGAACGATGTTTTTGTTCGCCACGTCCATAACCGCCCATGATTCAGACCACCGAGTGGCGGTGTCTTTATTTTCGGCTGCTGGAGCGGAGGCGAGTATCCAGAACGGTTTCCTGGAATTTAGCCTTGGGCGTGGGGGTTCCTTTAGATCTTGATGGAGCGGCAGAGTGAAGTTTTCCATTATCTTGTACTCCCGTGTCGTCGCATCATCGCGTCGGATGTTGGCCGGAGCGATATTCACCAGCACAGGAAGCCACGGGAGCGGAGTAGACTTTAGGGAACCGCCGATGATACGAAGCACGTTGTTAATTTCAGCATCGACAAGGTTCGTGTGAGGGCTTGCACCCCACACCGGGGCACAGTACTCCGCGGTGGAGTGACCAAGGGCCTGCGTCGATATCTTCAACGTGCTGGCATCGCTTCCCCGGGTTGTTCCTGCAAGTTTCTGAATAATATTCACTCGTGCTTTCATTTTACCTTTAGCTTGTTTTAGGTGGTGATGGTAGTTTGGCGTCCGATCCAGGGTAACTCCTACATACGGAGGGTGTTCATCATGCCATAGCTTCGCCCCGCGCGAGTTAACGTTCAACGTTTTCGAAGCTTGT